TGGAGTAGAACAGCACTCAGCACCACAGAATGGCAGACAGAACAGGGGGACCCTGAACCAGGCTGGTTGCAGGCAAAGGGGTGGGATTACAGTGATGTGGCTGTACAGCAGTGTGACTTGGGCAACCAGGCAGCCTAGCAGACAGACCATGCCAAGGAATTCTGGGAAAATGCCCCAACTGGTAGGTTAGTTGGTCATGTGAGAGAATAAGCTGGGAAATAGCACGTGGAGTGGGCTGCAGTGAGTGGAGTGGACTAGAATAAAGTGAGGCTTGGAAGGCCTGCTAGGATTGCCTGGGGAGCAGGACTAGGGGCTTCTGGGGGCCAGTCACAGTGACTGGTCAGTAGTCAGCTGGCTAGTGTGTTAATATTAACTGGCCAGGTTGGCAGGGCAAGACAACATGAGTGAGGGTAATTGTAGGCTGAAAAGCCAGGCAGAGATAGTTATTAGGGTTAGTTTGAAGCCTGGAAGAATGTTGTGTAGATGTGCTGACTGGGTTTTGGTCAACTTGACGCAGACTCAAGTCATCTGAGAGGAGGGAATCCCAATCGAGAAAATGCCTCCTAAAGTTGGCTGTAGGCAAGTCTATAGGGCATTTTTTTTTTAAATAAATGACTGATGGGGGCGGGCCTACACATTGTGGATGGGGATACTCCTGGGCTGGTGGTCCTGGGTTCTATAAGAAAGCAGGCTGAACAAACCATGAAGAGCAAGCCAGTAGGCAGCATCCCTCCATGGCCTCTGCATCAGTTCCTGCCTCCAGGTTCCTGTTCTTTTTAAGTTCCTGCCTTGGCTTCCGTTGATGTAACTTGGAGTGTGTGAGCAAAAGAACCCTCTGCTCCCCAGGTTGGTTTTGGTCCTGTTTCATCCCAGCAATAGAAGTCAGGACAATGGAGACAAGCGGTCAGTCTGGGAAATGGGCGTGCCGACAGGGCAGGTGCAGCACCAACGCCATGCAGCGCTAGGGCAACACCACGTGTTCTCCACACCCCAAGGGTGCGAGGAGTGGGTGGACAACAACCCTACTGACGCCAGCACTTGGGGGACCACCTATGTAAGCTCTGACACTGGCAGCAATGAGCCACACAAGACGCTGACAGGATGACATTGGGCAGGGAAGTAGGGAAGAGTCTAGGGATGCTGGGGTCATTAGGAGTAGCAATGTCATCCCTCTCCATCTTTATGTTTGTCACACATTCCTGCTCAAATACACATCTCCCTTACTCTTAGCATTTTTTTAACCTGAAAGGAAGGTGGAATCTCAGGAAATGTTTCTAACACTGACAGCAGGGTGACGATTTTCTCAGAAAGTATTGTCACTCTAGTGTAGCTAGAGTTTTCCTGCCTGGCCCACAGTCAGGACAAATCTCTCTCACCTGCCAGTCCCACAGCCACTCAGACCCGACCAAGTAAACACAGAGACTTATATTGGTTACAAACTGTATGGCTGTGGCAGGCTTCTTGCTAACTGTTCTTACAGCTTAAATTAATCCATTTCTATAAATCTATACCTTGCCACGTGGCTCGTGGCTTATTGGCATCTTCACATGCTGTTTCTCATCATGGCGGCTGGCAGTGTCTCTGACTCAGCCTTCCACTTCCCAGTTTTATTCTCCTCCTTGTCCTGCCTATACTTCCTGCCTGGCCACTGGCCAATCAGTGATTTATTTATTGACCAATCAGCAACACACTTGACATACAGACCATCCCACAGCACTTCCCCTTTTCTTTTTTTTTTTTCAAAAAATGCTAAGAGTAAGGGACATGTGTATTTGAGCAGGAATGTGTGACAAGCATAAAGATGGAGAGGGATGACATTGCTACTCCTAATGACCCCAGCGTCCCTAGACTCTTCCCTACTTCCCTGCCCAATGTCATCCTGTCAGCGTCTTGTGTGGCTCATTGTTAAGGTTTTAACCTTAACAAAGTAAAATTACATATAATTTGGGAATTTGGGCGTAGCTTCTCTTATTAATTCCTGCTGGAGGGGGGCGCTGTATCTTATGGGGACACAAAGAAAATTTTAGGATTATGGAGTAGTCCATGAGGCTGTATTGTCTGAGCCAGTTGCCTTCAAACCATTCTGGATGTTGGATCATCTGGGCCATGGTGTCATCAGAGACCTTTTAAGGGGTCTTGGCTGGTCAAACCTGATGTATCTTAATCTGGAACAAACCCATAGCCTCTTGCTTTCTGTGGAAACAAAAGCAGAGCCTCCTTTCCAAGGCAACACATCCTTACATCCAAATTTTGAAGTCAAGGTATCTTTAAAATATACATATTGGCTGGGCGGTGGTGGCACACGCCTTTAATCCCAGCACTCGGGAGGCAGAGCCAGGCGGATCTCTGTGAGTTCGAGGCCAGCCTGGACTACCAAGTGAGTTCCAGGAGAGGCGCAAAGCTACACAGAGAAACCCTGTCTCGAAAAACCAAAAAAAAAAAAAAAAAAAAATACATATTGGTTTAACTCAACAGCTTTTACAATCAAATGTTTTTCTGCAGTTAAAAATCCCAAAGACAACACAATCCAGATTCTCTGTGTAATATTTATCTTTATGTGGCTTATTTTTTATATTAATTTTACTGTCTCTTTAAAGACTTTATTTTTTAAAACTATTTGTTTCTATAACTGTATATATATCACCTTTTTTGTTTCTTTCAAGCCTACGTATCTTTTACATACATTGTAAACTATTACATCTGAATCTGTCTTATTGTGAATCTATTGTTTTAAACTGCAGCAGCTGTGACTGCTGGCTCCACCCACCTCAGCTTCCCAACATGGCGGTGGTGCGTTTTCCACGAGCTCTGGGAGCTATCGTGGGTCTATGCTTTTATCCAAGCAGTGTGTAGCCCAGAAACCTCTTTTTTTGTTTTGTACTCGCAAAGGCTAAATCCACCACACAGCTTAATATGCCACTTGCAGAGGCCTCATTCCCGCCATACACGCCATACACATTGAACACGCAGTCTAGGAACCCATCAGTAGCTCAAACCGGCAACTGCTACTCATTTGAGAGAGACAATTAGGAAGCTGTTTTTAGTTCCATCTTAGAATCTTTTCTTAGGTTTTAGGTGGAAACTCTTGCCCCACGTTGGGCACCAAATGTAGATGTAACCAACCGTCTTATTAAATAAGAAACACAGAGCCGATTCAGAGAAGAAAGCCAAGAGGTCAGAACTAAGAGCCTTACCCTTCCTGCTTCAGCCAAGAGAGCTCTCCAAAAAGGGAGCTACTTCCTGTGTGTTTGTCTTTATAGCCTTTCTGTTCTGCCTTCTCATTGGTTGTAAACCCAAACACATGACTGCCTCTGTAGAGAATTCCAGGTCTTCTATGGTTGGGATTGAGATTAAAGGCGTGTGTCTCCAATGCTGGCTGTATCTTTTTACACACAGAGATCTACCTAGCTCTGTCTACCAAGTGCTGGGATTAAAGGCGTGTGCTACCATTGCCACGCTCTTGCTATGGCTCTAATAGCTCTGACCCCCGAGCAACTTTATTTATTAACATACAATTAAAATCACATTTCAGTACAAGTAAAATACCACCACACTCTAGACAGGCTAAAGAAATGACCAGGGAGGAGAACTATTTCCCTGCGTGGTTTTCTAGTGGACACAATTCAGTGGCAAAGAGAAAACAGCAAGGTTTCTGAGAGCCATTAAGAAGCACCCGTCAGAGCCTGTGTAAGTAGCATCTACTGCCGCAGATGCTTCCCAACGTCGTCTATAGCAACAGCTCCAAATGCACTGCTTACCGAAAGCTACCAAAATTGTTCCGTTCTCATGGGATTAACTGGTCTTTGTAGGCGGCACATCTATGGGAAGGAGACCTCTGCTCTCACGCATATGAAAGTCAGTGATGGGGAGGAGTGGCTGCCACACACTGGCAATAAGGCTCAGCCTAGAGCTAAGCAGCACCCAAGGTTCTTTCCGAGGCACATCACATCCATTTTTTTTGTTTCTTTTCATTTTTCTTTATTAAGAAATGTTCTACTCACTCTACATACCACCCACAGATCCCCCCTCCTCCCTCCTCCCACCCTCCCTCCCAAGCCACCCCACATCCCCACATCCCCCAAATCAAGGTCTCCCATGGGGAGTCAGCAGAGCCCAGCACTCTCAGCCTAGGCAGGGCCAAGCCCCTCCCCACTGCTCCAAGGCTGTGCAAGGCATCACACCACAGGCACCAGGCTCCCAAAAGCCTGCCCATGCGCCAGTGATGGATCCCGATCCCCCTGCTTGGGTGCCCCCCAAACAGCAAGAGCCAAACAACCATCTTCCATATCCAGAGGGCCTAGTCCAGTTCCATGGGGGCTCCACAGCCACTAGTCTACTCTGGTGATCAGTCTAATGAATACCCTAACTATCATCATAGAGCCTTTGTCCAGTGACTGATGGAGGCGGATGCAGAGATCCACCCACAGTCAGGCTCCAGGCTGAGCTCCAGGAATCCAATCAATGAGAGAGAGGAGGGATTCTGCAGGCATGGGATGTCGAGATCATGATGGAAAGACGTGCAGAGATGACCGGCCACACTAGTGGAAGCCCATGAACTGTATGTAGACTAGTGGCTGTGGAGCCCACATCCATTCTTAACAAGAGCCCAGGAAGCCGGGTGGAGGTGGCAGTGGCAGCACACACTTTTGATCCCAGCACTTAAGAGGCAAAGGCAGGTGGATCTCTGAGTTTAAGGCCAGCCTGGCCTACAGAGGGAGTTCCAAGACAGCCAAGGCTACCAATAGAAACTGTCTGAAAAATGAAACACAAAAACAAAAACCCAGAGAACCAGGTCACCTCTCAGAAGCACACAGGGGGACTTGGTGAAGTTGAATTAACCCAGCCCTTTCCCTAAACACAAACCCCAAGTCATCTAAAGTCTATACCATACATACCACACATACAGTACACACAAAAGACACTACTTCATCAGAACATTTATTGGGGGCAATCAGTACCATTAATAAGAGAGATTATTTCTGGGGAAGAAAGGAGTCCCTACAGTAAAGGGTGGTGCTGCCCAAGGAGAGGAGGTTTCGTTGAGGCCCTGGCTACCTGTAGGGTGCAGGTGGGTGTGGCTGTAAAACCATACCTTTGTGGGACTGTCTGTCCCTGTCGTCTACCCATCTCTTTGGACCAACAAAAGCAGTGGCCTGGTTGTAGGACCTGGGACTTGGCACCTTAGGGCAGGTTGCTTTGTGGTGGAATGGGTACCCCTGCACTGGCTCGGCTGGGACCCAAGATACTTTCTTTGGATTAGTTTTCACAGGCTTGATAGAAGGAGATAGGGGCACATGGGGGTGCATGGTGTCTGCTGCAATATGCCTATGTCCCAGTTGCTCCTTGGGGACTCTCCCAGGGTCTCTCATGGCTTTCTGAGCGACAGTGTTCCCTGGAAAGGTAGCTCTTGCCTTCCACAGCTCTGGGCCCTGCACTGACGATAGAGAAGCACCTTTTCTCAGCAATGTTTCCTGCCCTTTGCACTTTCTGTCAGGAGAAAGCCACTGCAAAAGGTGTTTGATGTGCTTCCTGAACTGGTGTTCAGGAGGGGTCAGCGCCTTCACTGGCAGGGGGTGGGTGGGCTTCTCCCCATAATTCCCCTGGCTTGGGCTGTTCTGTGAATGGCAGCTCTTCCCATTGGCCTGTAATGTCCCAGACCTTGTAAGCCCTGCTCCAAGCTCTTTCGTTCTCCACGTAGCAGGACATACTTTCTTGGCAGACAGAGGGATGTCCTTGTCCTGGCCCTTACCCAAGATGTGAGGAGGCATCCAGGGCTCCTGTTGCTGCACCTGAGGAGCATTCATGGGTCCCCTGGAAGGGCTTTGGTCATGCATGGGTAAAGGTTTGTAAGTGAATTTATTGGAGGCAGGGAGCATGTCATTTGGGGGCCCTAGAGCTTGGATGGGCAGTCTGCTTTCTGCTTTAAATTTCTCCTCCCTAGATAGCTGACTATTGCAGTCAGATGTCTGACTTTCCTGGAAACCTGATATTTCCTTCTGGGCCCTTCCAGCTACCAGAGTACTTTGCACTTTTTTTGTATTCCCATCTGCCCCTTGGGTACTCTTGCACTGGCTGGTGTTCAAGATCTTGGTAGGTTGTGGTTGAAGACCACTGAGCTGCCCTCTCTTGACTATGTTACTGACCTTGTTGGATACAAATGTGTTTTTGTCATTCATCTTTGTTCCTTGAGGCTCCTGGACTGTTTTGCTGGAATCCAGTTGCTTACCCACTGGCACAGGGCCAGCCTCAGTGGATATTCTGGGCACATCTGGGCTATGTCTATTGCCCTCTGACTCTTTCAGTCTGAAGTTGTCTAAGCCAACGGATGCCTGATGCAGAACAGATTTTGTCATTGCATATGTGCTTTTGACATGTCCATCCTTGAGATGCAGGGCAGTTTCAAGTTTTTTCCGACATTGTCTCACCTGTGAGGTCCCTGAAGGTTTGCCTGACAGACTGCCTGGGTGGCTTCGTAGGTTCGTCTTACAGTCAGATTGCAGACCATTACCTAGAGCGCCCTTAGAGTTACTCCATAGACATTTTTGGGCAATCTCTGGACTCTGTCCTTGTGCCTTTACCATTTTTCCCTCTAGAGAGAGACTCTCTGAGTACCTCTCTTGCGAGCTTCCAGGTTGGTTCGACGCAGTGTCGTGTGGGTCTTTGCTCTCCTGGTACTGAAAGAAAGAGGCCCATGAGAGCCCGTAGCTGCACGGAGATGACTCTGAAAGGTCAGGACTCACCCATGGCTGAGACTTAAAGATCCTCTGAGGCAGGCCCCAGCGCTGTAGGATGAACCGCTTTTGAAGGTGGCGCTCGAGTTTCTTCCGGAATGCATCAGTCAGGGGAAAGTCTCCAGGAGGAACGGACCTGGGAGCATGGGTCTCGGAGGACTGCCTGACCAATGAGGGCTTGGAAGGTAGGAGACAAAAGTCTTCCTGAGACTTTTGGACTACTGAGGGTAAACCCCACACCCTCTGCTGTACCTTTGTCATGATGCTGCATTCTAGGTGGTGGATTTGGGCTTGCAGCAGAGTTTTTGTCTTGTCTTGGGACCTATGAAAATACACCCCACAGATCCTAAGCTGAGATTGAGAGGAAGATGATGTCTCTGGGATTGGAGGTTGAAACTGGGTCTGGGACATGGCAAGCAGGACACCTTGGGACTGAGATTGGGACAACATCTGTGATGGGCTCTCAGGCAAAGACAGAGGTGTGGGAAGAGTCAGGACTGAGGAGTCTGGGGTTCCGTTGAACCAGATGTAGGTTGAGGAACAGTGAGCTGACAGTGTACTGATAGCGTTCATGGACTCGCTGTGGAGATATGGGAGACCCCAAAAGTGCTGTGTAAACTTGGGTTCTGACTGGTCTTCAGTGGTTTGAGCCTGAGCAAGCCCCTGGTGCGTGATCAGCTCACTGAGCATGCTTTTGCTGCCCCCCAGAGGACGAGAGCCTCCTGAGTTCTGCGACTCAGTAGCGGACTCTGGGATTTCCTCCCAAGTTGTAAGTGCTTTTTGGAAAGCTTCTGCTTTTTCTTCCCCATCCTTCAGCATAAGAAAGTCAGCCTGACTTTCGTCTCGTCTCTCAAGCAGCACCAGGACTTTGGGGCTGGGGAAAGAGAGTTTTCCAGGCGTTGTGAAATAGTCTGTGGTTTGTCTCCCCAAAAAAGCTTTAGAAGAGTGGGCCTTAACCAGGCATTCCGACTGTGATGAGAACCCTGACACGTAACCACAAGCTTCTTTGTTTGTTGTGGCATTGACAAACCACTCACTCGGGCTGCCCGCCATGGATGGAGTGATTTCCAGTTGTAAAGACCCTTCTGTTTGAGGAAATGTGGGAAGTGGATGAGATGGGATGTGGTCCAGTGGGGAATCAGTGCTTGGAAGAACAGGCTCTGATGGCAGAGCGTCACCTTGTGGTGCATACAAAAGTATGTCTTCCAAGGGGGTGACCTTGTTAGTTGAGAGAGTGGTGGGAGGAGGAGAAGGTACAGGTGACAGAGACGAAGTGTGACATCCTGGAGGGCTCGGTGAGCGGGGAGGGGACAGAGAAAATGAATTCTCAGTCACAGAAGCTGTGGAAGGCACACTGGATGCAGAGGCAGCACCATCTTCGAGGGTGGCCCACGACAGCAGATGGCTGACCTTGGCAGTTGCTCCATTGCACACATCACAGCAGGGGTCTGGGCAGAGTACTTGTCGAAAGTGGGAGGCATCGTACAGCCGTCCAAAAGGGCTGAAGAAGACAGAGTTCAGGTCTGTGGTCAGGACCTGTGTTCTAGTTATCTTCATCTGTCAACTTGACACAACCTAGTGTCATCTGAGAGACCAGCCTCAGTGGAGGGATTGCCTAGATAAGACAGGCCCGTAGTCATGCATGTAGAAAGTTGTCTTGGTTGTTAATTCATGTAGGAAGGCCCAGCCCATTGTGAGCAGCACCATCCCTAGGCAAATGGTACTGACATGCATAAGAAAGCTAACAGAATATAAGCCTACCTACACTCTAGCTAGCAAACAGCATTCCCCACTTTACCACTCCTTGGCTATGAAGTGAGTGCCGTGGTTGGAGGCAATGAACTCACCTGCCTTCAAGTTCCTGCTTCAACTTCCCTCAACAGCTGGGATCTGGATTTATAGGCTGAAATAAACCTTGCACCTTAAAGGTCCTTTCGGTTGTGGTGTTTTATCACAGCAACAGCAACAAAGCTGGGACAACCAGCATGCGCAGAAAGAGGGCTACCGGCGCATGTGGGGTGCACACACCCCAAGCCTGTGTGCCTGCTCCTTTTGTTCTGTCCGTGGCTACCAAAGAGGCTGCAGCCTCTCTCCATGCCTCCAGTTTACACACACTCCTTTAGCTATCCCTCCCAAGACAAGAGCGGGCTATGTCAAGTTCCCAGGATGCATTGACCTTGGGGTGGGGATGGGATGGGCCCCGAAAGAAAGGGAAAATTGTCACCTTTGCACAACAGACAGCAGCTTCCTCCTCTCCCATGCTTCTCTGTGGAAGATTCTAAATTCTGGAAAGCATGGGGGGTGGGTCGTATGGAAGAAAAGACAGAGACATGAGCATCACACCGTTTCCCTAAGGGAAACACCTAAGGCTATTGTAGTCTAAAATCATCAAGAAATAGTAGACATGGTGAACTCATCACCAACAATACTAGCAATGCTCACTTGCATTTCTTTGTTGACGAAGTCCCTTTGTGGACATCATCTCACAATGTACACCACAGAAGCTCACAAGTCTTGGCTTCCTCAGAGATGTCTGAGCCCCAGATGTGAGGCATGCACATGATACCAGAAGGCAGGGGCTGTGCCTCCAAAACCCCCTGGAGTCCTCCCTGGACAGGCCCTGTGCTCACTGCGTGGGCGGCACTCACTGCCCGGGTCAGGGATCACTGCTCCATGGCCATGGGTGAGCAGGGCTGGGGTGCAGGGCTGCTTCTCAGTCTCCTTTGAGGGAGACAGTGTGTGTCTAGTGACATGAGAGCCTCAGATCACGGACCCAGCTCTTATGGAAATGACAGGAAGGGAAAACCGAGGTGATAAGACCCTAGAGGTGAGTGCCTACCTTTCGATGATGCTCTCCTTCCTTTCTTAGCTTTGCCCTGTTGCTGTTAACAGAAAGAAAAATGATTTTTTTCTGTTGTTTTTCCTAGGATGCTAAAGAATTCCATTAACCAAAAATACTGTGATTTCCAGTCGAGTAAGATTAATTCCAACCTTTATATTTACTTTCAAAAGTGATAGAAGACTTTCAGTTTTTCCTTCTTTGAGAAACCAAAGGAGGATTTTTGTCTGCAAGAGTCACAGCTGAGAATATCAGTAAGAAGTCCCACGCTAAACAGCACAGACTGAGACCAGGGCCACAGTGGCACTCCCTCTGAGACACTTTGTCCTGGGAACAGATCTTGGACTCCAGGCTCTGCTCAGAGGCCGTTTGTCTGTGGTCAGCACTGCTCTCCTGAAGCACAACTTGGGGGAGTGAGGGTGGAGGAGCTTAGGACGTGGGCGAGGGCATGGGGCAGGTGTCAGGAGACACTGTTCTCCTTCAGAAATCTGACATCTGGGACTAAGCATAAGACCAGGATGGGTGCTCAGCACCGGGCCATGAACACCCAGGGGTTAGGCTAGCCTTAATTCCCCCCATCCAAGGCCCCATGCTTTCACATGGCAGTGTTCTCTCCTCTTCATAGTGTCCTAGTCCAGGCAACCAAACTCATTCAACAACATGGGAGTAGAAATGGCAGCTACAAATGAAGAAACCCCCTAGGAGCTCACCATACTGCCTCACCTTTCTGATGTCTCGATTGTTCCATGTGGGTAAGAAGGGTTTCAGTAGCAGGTGCCTCAGGTACAAGAGAAGCACCCCTACTGCACTCAGGAAGATGCACTTGGGGTAAATATCCACGAAGGCTGAGGGTAAGCTCAACCATGGTTCAGTAGCACTATGTAGAAAGGAGATGACGTTCTCCATAGTGTGAATCACACAGCTGCCTGAGGCAGCTGAGTTCTGAGGCTGAGTGGGCCTCACTGTAGAGTCAGGTCTGCATCACAGAGCAGGGAAGAGTCATAGAGGGTTTGTGAGGGTGGGGAGGAGGATGAGCCCTCAGCCCCCCAGTGCCCCCCCCCCACCTTCAACCTCATCCCAGCAGAGTCCTCTGCCTGGGCCTGCTGCTGCATTCCCACCCAGCTTTCTTCTCGTCAAGTTCCACGGGGCGCTTTCCAGTTTGTTTCTTCTGTGACCAGGACTCCAGCTCAGTCCCCTTTACTGTTTGCAGCTCTTGACCTGGACCCTTGCAATTCTCCTGCCTAGAGTCTGACTTGGCATCTCCTTGGAAGTGTTTGCTTTTTAGTGTGTTGCATCAGGACCAATGTCCTTCAACATATCTACAGAAAATTCAACATTTTCTCTCTCACCAAATTAGCTATCAGATGAAATTTTCTCTCACATATTTACTTTGTGAATGCTCAGTGACCAACTTTTGTGTTTGAGTCAGCTTGCAATGTCTTCAGAGGGACAGACTAAAATCATAAAGCTATCATAAATATGGGATGTATATAATTAGAACTTCAGGCACTCTTTTGTGTATGATTATACAATTTTTTTTTTAGTGGTGATGTAGTTGGAAAGCCAGATCGGGAAGAAGTAAGGCTAGTCATAGAATGGGGTGTGCTTGGTGGTACAGGATAAAGTGGCTGACAGTGTTAGATGGCAGGCCAGCCAGCTGCAGAGTCTTAGGGAACCCAGCAGGTGTGTGGTCTGTGAATAGCTAGGAATGAAAGTGGGCTACATAGACCAGGATGAGGTGGGCATCCTGATAGGCAAACTGAATGGAAACTGGAGAACTCGTGTGAGCTGGGGGAAAGTGTAGGCTGGGCAGACAAAGGTTTTTGTGGCTGGTTGCACTGGGTAGAGTTGAGCGAAGTGGTAATGGGGCTGGTTAGGTGGGAGGGAAGCTGAGGGACAGGACAGTATGTGTCAGGTCCTGGGAAAGCAGACAACTGTTGCATTCATGAGTAGGCAGGGTACGTTGGTAATGGGATACCTTGTGTGGAATAAAACAGGTTGGGGAGCGTGGCAGGCTGGCAAGCTAGGATGTGGCTGGGGGTCAGGTGGCAAAAAGGTGCCATGGGTATAGATCTAGGGGCAAGGCAGGACATCATGCTAGGGCGCTGTAGAACAGAGCATGTAAGCATGCATGGGCACATGATCTCCTAAACTGACCAGTGTAGTATGGGAATTGGCTTTCCTGGAGGGTTAGGCAGTCTCAGTAGGATGAATGGAGGACAGGATGCAGGTGAGGTGAGGTATGGCATGTTCTTGGTGTGCACAGGTGGTGTAGGGAACCTGGTACACTGGCAGACTAGGGTGAGTAGGGTAGCAGGTTGGGCTAATGGCCACCACTAAAGTGTGTCAGGGAACATGGGAGGCTGTGGAGACAGGCAAAAGCAGATATGGTGAGGACAGAAACTGCTGTTGGAAATCTAGGGAGCAGAAGTCTAGGAGGTAGGTTACAAGGACAGGTGTCAGGGCTAGAGGAGGCATACCACAGTGAGTTTGGGCATAGTGGGGGCCCCCTATCCATTCAGCAGGAGTAATTACAGACCGGGATGAGGTTGGGAAAGGGGTTGTTGTGGTCTGGCCATGGCTGGATTAGGGTGAGTTGGGATTGGGGTGATCTGTGGAACCAGGCACTCTGGTGGCACTATTGTGACATTAGGAAAGGGGAGGTTGATGGGTCATGTGACATCATAATCAAGGGACTTGGACAAGAGCTCCATGGTGGGCTAAGCTGAGGCGACAAGCAATAGGAGGCAGGCTAGTTAGCAGCCACTAGGCATCAAGCACATCCAAATAGCTCAAGGCGCCTTGCCTAGCTGTGGAAGCTGGCTGGCAGCTCAGGAGGGATGGAACTAGGCTGAGATGGGGAATAGTAGGGGCTGGGTGAGATGGGGAGCATGACGCTCTGGGTGCCACAGGGCCAGACACAGAACAGGTTGAATACTCTATTGTGAGGTAGTGGAGGGAACACTAGGGTGTGAGGGGCATCTTTGGGGAGGGTGCGTGTGGTATCCTTTCCACCAGTGGAATTGTATGAGCTTGGACACTGGACAGACTCACAGATCAGGGGCACTGTGACACTGGTAAGGGAGCATATGGGGTACACCAGTGTGACCTGAGAGCAGAGTGCAATTTTGGACTACGATGATTTGAGCTATGGGATCCGGCAGGCTAGGCAGCTGAGCTTACTCAGTCTGGGGACATAGCGGGCTGGGCTGACTAGGGAAAGATTAGACACGGGGCAGGCAGGGTGGCCAAGAATGACTAGTCAGTGTTGTAGCACATAGGGTCCACAACTGGGTGAGATCACTGATGCCTTTTCTCCCCCAGCAGCCTGTCCAGTGCTTTCCTATTTAGAAAGTCCTTCCCTATGCCTGTCTTACTGTGCACTCCTTTACTTTTTCCTCCAGCAGGTTTTTTTTTTTTTTTGACAGAGTTTGTCTGTGTAGCCCTGGCTGTCCTGGAACTCACTCTGTAGACCAGGCTGGCCTTGAACTCACAGAGATCCACCTGCCTCTGCCTCCCGAGTGCCTGGCACATTGAGACTCTTGGTGCATTTGCAGTTCACTGTCATACAGAGTGACAGATGAGGATCTAGTCTCGTGCTCTCCATGTAGACACTATCTGTGGAAGATGCCGCCATTCTATGAGTGTATATCTCACACCCAGCTTTTTTATGTGGGCACTGGGGGTTGAACTCAGGCCCTTGAGCCTGTCCAGCAAGCACTTTACCAGCTAGCTCATCTCCCAGCTCCTAGATTTCTAAACTAATATATTAGGTCCCTATTTCAGGCACTCAGTCCTAAGTCAAGGCACCCCTTAAATGACTAAGATTATACCTTTTAAAGGATTATGAACTCAAAGAGCTTTTTGTAGCATTTGGGGATGTGTGTGTGTGTGTGTGTGTGTGTGTGTGTGTGTGTGTGTGGTGTAGGTGTATGGGCATGTGTGCGTATGCATGTGTGAGGGCAGAGGTTAATATTGTTTGTCTTCTTTCTTTTCTTTCTTTTTTTTTTTTTTTCCCCGAGACAGGGTTTCTCTGTGTAGCTGTGCGCCTTTCCTGGAACTCGTTTTGGAGACCAGGCTGGCCTTGAACTCACAGAGATCCGCCTGCCTCTGCCTCCCGATTACTTTCCACTTTAAAAATTAAATGTTTTGTTTAATATTCATACATACATACGTAAAACATGTTTGGATCAAATCCACCCTCCATTCTTCCCCTCCTCTATCCTTGCCTTCCCCCTTCCCCCTTCCCCCCAACTTCATGTTCTCTCTCTCTCTCTCTTTCTCTCTCTCTCTCTCTCTCTCTCTCTCTCTCTCTCTCTCTCTCTCTCTCTCTCTCTTCCTCTCCTCTCCTCTCCTCTCCCTTCTCCAGCAACCATCAGCTGTCAGTGGTTCCTATGCTCCTCCTCCTCACCCATGCTAGGGTTTTAACATTTGTGCTGTGGGATGTCCTGTATGTTGTGAATAAATAAAATGCTGATTGGCCAGTAGCCAGGCAGTAAGTACAGATAGGCAGGACAAACAGAGAGGAGAGGTGGGGAGGTGGAAGTCTGGAGGAGATGCCAGCCTGCTGTCCAGGGAGCAGCATGTAAAGGCAGCAGGTAAAGCCACGGAACACGTGGCAACATGTAGATTAACGGAAATAGGTTAGTTTAAGATAGAAGAACTAGGGCTGGAGAGATGGCTCAGAGGTTAAGAGCACTGCTTGCTCTTCCAAAGGTCCTGAGTTCAATTCCCAGCAACCACGTGGTGGCTTACAACCATCAGTAATGAGATCTGGTGCCCTCTTCTGGCCTGCAGGCATACATGCAGACAGAACACTGTAACTAATAAATAAATAAATCTTTAAAAAAAAAGATAGAAGAACTAGATAACAAGAAGCCTGCTGTGGCCATACAGTTTATAATCAATATAAGTCTCTGTGTGTTTACTTGTTTGGGTCTGAGCGGCTGAAGTACTGGTGAGTGAGAGAGATTTGTCCTAACCATGGGCCAGGCAGGACTGGAGAAAACTTCAGCTACAAATGGCGCCCAACAGGTTGGCAAGAGTTTCCACCTAAAACCTGAGAAAAAAGATTCTAAAATGGAGCTAAAAACAGTTCCTAGTTGTTTCTCTCAAGTTGGCAGCAGCCTGCAGGTTTGAGCTAGTATGGCTGGTTCCTGGTGTGTGCGTTTGACTGGCAGTATGGCAGGAATGAGGTGTTTGCAAGTGGCACATTATACTGTGTGGTGGATTTAGTCTTTGCTAGTACAAAAAAAAGGGTTTCTGGGCTGTAGCATGAATCTTAACAGGTCTTATTAATAAAAACAAACCTGGAGCCAGGTATTGGGGTGAATGCTGGAAGATCAGAGGAACAGAACAAGCCACAGCTTCCTCACCTCGTCAATTCCTCAGCTGATCCTGTTTCCTCAGACTGGAAGCCTCTGAGTTCTCATCCAGAATGAATCTCAGCTGAACTGTTGCTTAAAAGCCTAAAAGCTTAACCAGCTAAAAGCTTCTAGTTTCTGGTCGTCACGCCTTATATACCTTTCTGCTTTCTGCCATCACTCCCTGGGATTAAAGGCTCACTTTCTGGTATTAAAGGTGTGTGTCACCATGCCTGGCTGTTTCCAATGTGGCCTTGAATTCACAGAGATCCTGACGGATTTCTGCCTCTGGAATGCTAGGATTAAAGGCATGAGTGCCACCATTTTCTAGCCTCTGTATCTAGTGGCTTTTCTGTTCTCTGACCCCAGATAAGTTTATTAGGGTGCACAATATTTTGGGGAAAACAATACCACCACACTGGGCTACACACTGCTTTGATAGAAGCATAGAACCACTGTTTCTAAGAGTTGATGGCTCCCAAAGCTGGTGGTAAACATACCACCGCCATGTTGGGAAGCTGAGGTGGGCAGAGCCACCAGCCA